TTTAGGCTAGACTGGTCTTGAATTCAGATATCCACCTACCTCTGCCTTCCAAGTGCAGGGATTAAAGTCATGCACTGCCACCACCAGGTTCCTTCCTCATTTGAGTTTTGTCCCAGTTTTTAGGAATTATACCAGCATCCCTATGAAGGATCTAAGACCCCACTCTGACTCCATGGGCATAACACACACGAGACACAGACACACATGCAGGTGGAAGAGCCATACACATTAAATTTTAAAAATAAAGCAAAAAACCCAAACCACAGGCACGTGAAATGCGCTCAATAAAGGAAGAATTTAGAAATATACTGGTTTTAAGGTGGGCGGAAGTGGCACACGCCTACCAGCACTCGGGAGGCAAAGCCAGGTGGATCTCTGTGAGTTCGAGGCCAGCCGCATCTACAGAGCGAGATCCAGGACAGGCAGCAAAACTACACAGAGAAACCCTGTCTCGAAGAAAAAAAAAAAAAAGAATCATCATTGGACATTAGGTCTAAGGGAAAACATCAATGAGAAATAAAAAACATACCCATGTTTCATGAAGAAACAATAGATAAATCCAAAGCTGTCTATTATTAAAAAGGAAAAAAGGGGTGAGAGGGTCAGCTCAAAGGTTTAAGTGTGGAGTATGTACTATTCTCACAAAGGACCTGGGTTTTGGTTCACAGAATCCAAGTTGGATGGCTTACAATGTGCTTTTAATTGCAGCTCCAGGGGATCTGATGTCTCTGACATTAAAAGGCATATGCATTCATGTGCACCCCACACACGCACATAACTACAAAAACAATAAAAACAAAAGGTGGTTTTTGTTTTGTTTTGTTTTACAAGAGAAGGTTTCTCTGTGTAGTTTTGGAGTCTGTCCTGGAACTCACTCTGCAAAACAGGCTGGCCTCGAACTCAAAGAGATCTGCCATCCTCTGCCTCCCAGGTGTTGGGATTAAAAGCATGCACCACCACCACCTGGCTCTCTGTAACCACCTGACTCTTTGTAAAGGAAAAAAAAAGTCAGTAAAATGACTCAGCAAATAAAAGCACTCACCTCATAAGCCTGACCTTACCTCAAACCTGCATTTGATTCTTGGAACCCATACCAAAGTGAAATGACTCTACAGAGCACTCTTCAAGGTTCCACACACCACATCACACACACACACCATAATGTAATATTACATTTTTTTTATTTTTATTTTTTAAAGAAAATAAAAGGGAAATGGGTGGAAAGATGGCTTAGTGGTTAACAGCAATTGCTGCTATTGCAGGGGGCCTTAGATTTGATTCCTATCAAACACATGGTGGACTCACAAACACCTATACTTCCCATTCCAGTTGATTCAATGCCCTCTTCTGACCTGCATGGACACCAGGCATGAACATGGTGCACATACATACATGTGGGCAAAACACTCATTCAAATAAATAATCTGAAAGAGAGGAAGAGAAAACGTCTTTCAAAAATATTGGATGGTCATAAAAAGGTGAAGGAAATGTCCTAGAATAAACGAACCTAGGGAGACATGAGAAATAAATGTAATACACGGATCCTGAATTTGCAGGTGTGGTGTTAAGACTGGAATATGGAAAGTAAATTAAAGAACTTATTAATGCTAAATCTACTGAAACTGCAAATTGTTCTGTAGTTTTTATACAAGAATGCTTTTATTCTTATGAACTGAATATTGGGGAATCTGAGACAAAGACTTTGATGCATGCAACCCAGTTTCAACAGGAAAAAAGCTATGTGCACATACACATTCATTCCTAGTGAGAACGTGATGAGACCAATGGCACAAAATTTTAACAACAGAAATCTAATAAAACATGCCTGAACAGACTTAGTATAACTATCATCCCCTTACTTTTCCTCTGAACCCCTTCTTCCCAACTAGACTCTGCTGTGAACAATCTTTGTACACTGTATATATGTATTGCTCTCATTGTTAATAAAAAGCTGTTTGGCCAATGGTTAGGCAGGATTTGGGAGGCAGAGAGAATGCTGAGAAGAGGAGGGTAGAGTTAGAGGAGTTGTCAGCCAGACACAGGACAGAGGAAGTGCAAGATGAAAGAGAGGTAATGCCACATGGCAGAATGTAGAATAATATAAATGAGTTAAGTTGTAAGAGTTAGTTACAATCCTGAGCTATTGGCCAAGCATTTATAATTAATATTATGTCTCTGCATTTATTTGGTAGTGGCTGCTGGGACAGGAAAATTCCACCTACAAATGGCACCCAATGTGGGGTACCTACATCCACATAAACCTGAGAAAGCTCAAAAAAGGTTCTAAACATACAAAACCAGAGTCAAATGCAGCTTCCTAGTCTTGTGTCTCTCATGCCACCCATAGTACAGAGAAAAAGTCTCCTGGCAGCTGCCAGCACTCATGAGCTAAGTCACATGGCAGGTTCCCACAGTCTCTCACATGGGTCACAGTACAGAGAGGCATCTCCCAGTCACTGCCTGTGGGCTCGAGCTACCAGTATGAACTACTCCAGCATGCTGCATGGCAGGTTTGGGGTTTTGCTCATGCAGACAGAAAAGGTTATAGATGCTCATAAAGACAGATTCAGATGGAAAAAACCTCTAAAATAGGTTACAGTGTGCTTAAAAATGTACAAATGTGTAGGGCAGCGGTGGTGCACACCTTTAATCCCAGCACTCGGGAGGCAGAGGCAGGCAGATCTCTGTGAGTTTGAGGCCAGCCTGGTCTACAGAGTGAGTTCCAGGACAGGCTCCAAAGCTACAGAGAAACCTTGTCTCAAAAAACAAACAAACAAAAAAACCCAAAATAATTTAGGAAAAAAAAAATGTACATATGCTTTGAAAGGAAAAGAAAAAGGGTATAGACAGTCATTTTTTATATATATATATATTTTTATATATATATATATATATATATACACACACACACATATGTATATATATAGTTTTAAAATAAAGTCCAAAAAAAGAGAGTAATATGAAAGAAAAAAGCCACATAAAGATGGAAAATACAGAGAGTCTAAATCCTGTATGTCATTGTGTTGTCTTTAAATTTTTTGAGTGATAATGAACGAGCAATAACTGCTAAGAAACACTGGATTATGGAAACTGCTAGATTAAACCAACCTATATATTTTAAAAATATCTTGACTTCAAAATGGAAGTCAAAAGATATGATGCTTTGGGAGAGAGGTTCATGCTTTTATTTCCACTGGAAATGAGAGGCTGTTGATTCATTCCAGGTTAAAGATGATCAAGTTTGATTGAGAACAACTCTCTGAAAATCCTGACTACAAACATAAATAATTAAATCTACAAGAATTACAAGACACATGATGAATATTTTACCTGCTCAAACATAAAACAAAAAATAATCTTTGGATGACTTGTGTACAATGTACAGTCTATACTTGCATTAATACAGGTATGTATGTAATCTTTAAAAGTTTATGCATTTTCAGCCGGGCGGTGGTGGCGCACGCCTTTAATCCCAGCACTCGGGAGGCAGAGCCAGGCAGATCTCTGTGAGTTCGAGGCCAGCCTGGGCTACCAAGTGAGTTCCAGGAAAAGGCGCAAAGCTACACAGAGAAACCCTGTCTCGAAAAACCAAAAAAAAAAAAAAGTTTATGCATTTTCATCACAAGGGGACAAGACACCAATGAAAACGGATGGCCCAGGTGATCCAGCATCTCTATCACAGTCTCCTCAGGATTCTGCACCTAAAACAGTTTCAAGGCTACTGACTGAGATGGCCCAGCCTCATAAACTACTCCAGCTACGACTTGACAGTTATCCTGATTTTCTCAAGGTTCCCTCAAAGATACCAGCACCCACAGACAACAGGAAGTAGACTAGAGAACAATGCCCACATTCCCAAGAGATGAGGTATGGATGGGTTTTGGTTATTCAATGGATTATGGATGTTTGTCATTGTTTAGGGTTAAAAGTTGTTATTGGTCATAGACAAAAAAAAGCTAAACAAAAGAGTTAAATTCAAAAGATTTCTTTCTAACGGGAAAAAGGGGAATATGATATGAAATGATTACATAAAAGAGTAGATTATTGAATCTACTTTAATCCAAAAACTATTAATCTCAAAAAACTTTATATTGGTATGGATTTTTGTTTATTGACACATATTTAGTTATTTTTGCTATACTATATGTATCTTTCTATTCCTGTTTGAGGTATTATGTAACTCAATTAAAAATGTATAATTAAAAAACACAGGTTAGTAGTTAGTCATCTGAAATAATCAAGCTTATAGTCACATTAGGTATGTTTTCAAGGTTAAACAGATATTTAGAAAGATAGATGGTCTTCAAACACTTCAAAGACCTACAGAATATGGCATTTAATATGTTTAATAACCTAAAGCTTTTCATGACAGTGAGACACATCTGCTCCTGGCAACACTAATTTACTTCAAAAGAAGATGATGGGCATCGAAGAACCTCCATATGGAGTTTGCTTTCTTTATGGCAAAAGTTAGGCATTTGGGCAAAGAAATGGCGACTGCCAAACTTTGCCAAGACAAAGTAAGATGGTCCTTCAAAATTCCCTGCTTCTCAGTAATATCTGTTAGATATACTAAGCTTGTAGGCCAAAGTTGGATGCCCCAATGTTACAGAAGAACTTTGGGGACTGTCCAGGCAGCCAGATGTCCCTCTTGTTAGCTGACATTACACCCTCCTGGGGTCTTCAATGGAGTTAAAGATTGAATAATTAGACTTAAAGTTTTCCTTAGTTATGATAAAAAGGTAAATTAGGTATAAAACTTTAGACTCACAAAGATAAGATAAATGATAGAATATTTTCTCTAAATTTGCCAAATACAAATGGACTGGATATTGTAACTGTAATTCTTACTTGATAACTGTTTTTGTTGTATATAATTTTACTATGTTAAATTAAAACCTTTCTTTTTTATTTAGAGAAAAAAGGGGGAAATGCTGTGGAATAATCCTTCTGTACACTGTGAAAATGTGTTGCTCTCATTGTTAATAAAAAGCTGATTAGTGCTAGCTTTAGCAGCACATACACTAAAACTGGAACCATACAGAGAAAATTAGCATGGCCCCTGAGCAAGGATGACACACAAATTCGTGAAGTGTTCTATATTAAAAAAAAAAAAAAACAAACTGATTAGTCAATAGCTAGGCAGGATTTTGGGGGCAGGGAGAATGCTGGGAAGAAAGGGCAGAGTCTCAGAAGTCGAGAGCAGACGCAGAGAGAAGCAAGATGAACGTGCCATGTTAAAAGAAGGTCCCACCATATAGCACAGGGTAGATAAGAAATATGGGTTAATTTAAAATGTAAGTGCTAGTAACAAGCCTGAGCTATCAGCTGAGAATTTATAATTAAGTCTCCATGACTGTTATTTGGGAACTGGCAAGTAGGAAAGAAAAGTCCAACTGCAAGTCTCCCAGTGGCTGTATCATTAAAGAAAATGATACTTCCTCCTCCAACAATCAATAGCTTATCAAGAAGAGGCCAGGGGCTACATGGTGGTGGCATAACCCTTTAATCCTAGTATTCAGGAGGCACAGGCAGGTGAATATCTTTGAGTTTGAGGCCAGCCTGGTCTACAGAGTGAATTCCAGGAGATAACCAAAGCTGTTACACAGAGAAATCTTGCCTTGAAACACCAATAAATATAGAAATTAAACAAAACAAAACAAAACTGTAAGGGAGTATTATTCTTGTTCGTAGATTCAAAATTACTTCCAAAGAAACATTCTAAAAATCAAAAAAAGTCTGGGCACAGTGCCATGCCTATAAGCTCAGCTCTCAGGAGGCTAAAGCAAGAAGATACTTCAAAGCCAGCATGGTCCAACCCAGAAAGTTCCAAGCCAGGGTAAGCTACAATGTTGGTCCTCTTCTCAGGGAAAACAAAACTCATAGGGATCCTAAAAATAAACTAAAACTAAACTGTCTCCTTGGTATTCAACTACAAAAATGGAATGCTGCAAAATATTACAAAATATGGAATTTTATACCCTCACTAATGCATCTGCTTAAATGCACTAGCCACCTCATGAATTACAAAATTAATAATGAGAATGATAAATAGGAGTCCCTTTCTTATAACATGAATCCTAGATAAAACAAAAATTAGAGGAGCTAGGGAGATAGCTCAGTGGGTAAATTGCTTGCCATTCAAATATGAGGACCTGAGTTCAGATCCCCGGAAATTATGTAAAGAGCTAGATTTGGTGGTACCTGTTAATTATAACCCCAGTGCTGGGGATTCCAGTCAGACAGCCTTGCCAAATCAGCAAGCTCATTCAGACATAGATACTACCTCAAAAAAATAAAACTACAGAGTAACAGTGGTTTCCACATACACATGCACAGAAGTATGCACAACACACACACATGCACACAACAATATGTACACATGCATACACCATATAATCACATAAAATTAAATAAAATTTCTTTTGTTTTTATAAAACAATGTCTCACTGTGTAGCTCTTGCTGTCTTGGAACTCACTATGTAGACCATGTCAGACTCAAATTCAGAGACCCACCTGTCGCTGTCTCTTGAATGCACCTACACCACTGTGCCTAGCATAATAACTTTTTAAAAAATGATTTATTTATTTTTATTTTATGTACATTGGTGTTTTGCCTGCATTCATGTCTAGGTGAAGGTTTCAGATCCCTTGGAGCTGGCATTACAGTGGTGAGCTGCCATGTGGGTTCTGGGAATTGAACCCATGGTCCTCTGTAAGAGCAGCCAGTACTAACCACTAAGCCATCTCTCCAGTCCATAACTTTTTTTTTTTTAATTAAAAGAGCTATCCGCAGCAGCACTTATCTTCCTATTAAGGATATTTATGTTTAAGATATTTTTTTAAAAGAATAAAACTTACCAACTAATCTTATTTGTTTTGCTTTAAACTCAAACATGACAAAGAATTAATTCCATGCTAAAAGAAGGCCCAATTTTGAAGCCAAGACAAACTGTCAATACTAATATAGCCACACTGGTAAAAAATAGACTAGGAAGAATAGACTTCCCAAGACGGCATTTTAACACTTTCTCTCAACTCTATCTCTTTCCCTCTCTGCTCCCTTTTGTGACAAGGTGTCAGCTAGCCTAAGGCTGGCCTTGAACTTCCAAAGTAGCAGAGAATGATCTTGCCTCTACCCCATGTACCATCAATCATGCCTAGATTATTATTCTTTTTTTTTTTTAATTAATTTGTAGGAAAGCCAGTGGGAGCATTTTCTTTTTCTTTTTCTTTTTTAAAGATTTATTTATTTATTTATTACGTATACAGTGTTCTGCCTGCAGGCCAGAAGAGGGCGCCAGATCTCATTATGGATGGTTGTGAGCCACCATGTGGTTGCTGGGAATTGAACTCAGGACCTCTGGAAGAACAGCCAGTACTCTTAACCTCTGAGCCATCTCTCCAGCCCCTAGATTATTATTCTAAGAACAGAATTTCTTTTTCTTTTCTTTTTTTTTTTTTTTTGGGGGGGGAGGTTTTTTTGAGACAGGGTTTCTCTGTGTAACAGCCCCCTAGCTGTCCTAGAACTACCTCTGTAGACTAGGCTGGCCTTAAACTCACAGAGATTCACCCACCTCTGCCTCCCAAGTGCTGGGATTAGAGGCATGAGTCACCACCACTGGCTAAGAGGTTTCTAAATAGCAGAAAACAGAGAAACTTACAGTTCATCTCGTTGTCTCTGGGACAGCACCATTTTGGCTGTAATGTCAAGCTTATTTGATATAGTGGTATGTCCCTCCAGAAAAATCGAAAGTTTTGTGATCCCTGGATTTGAATTAAATATGCCACTAAGTGGCTTCCACAGAGGGGAAAATGATTCTTTCTCAAGTGAATCCAATCAGCAACCAGGAAATAGTCAACAAGTAAGGTTCATTCCACCTAAAGAGAAAAGAGAAAAAGAAAATTATTTCTCTCATTTAAAATTTGTATTATTTCTAAATTATTAATTATAGAACATGACGTAATTATATTAATATGCATGTTAGATGACAGTCTACCTATAGTTTAAAGAAGAAAAAAAAAATCAGTCAATGCCAAAATAAATTCCTATCTCAAAAAAAAAATCATAAACTATACTATGAAGACCAAGCATACTTATGACCCCACAAGTGCATTGTAATTTCAGACCCACGTATCAAACCCAGCCACATTTTATGTAGGTGCAAAACAGTACTTTTTTTTTTAACAAAGGAGAAAATACATTTATTCAAAATACTTTATGATGATGAATATATAAATAAAAACAAGCATCCAGTCTGTGGTGACAAACATCTTTAATCACAGCACTCGGGAGGCAGAGGCTGGCATAGCTCTATGGGTTTGAGGTCATCCTGGTCTACAGCACAATTTCAGGACAGCCAGGGCTATATAGAGAAATCCTCTGTGTGTGGCAAAACAGTACTTTTGTTGCTGTTTTTGAGACAGGGTCTAACTAGGTAGCCCTGGCTAAGACTCTTGGCAATCTTACTGCCTCAGCTTGTAGTGCTAGGTTTATAGGCATGCACCACCACACTCAGCAACACAAAATTGTTTTCAAATTTAACTTATTTACCAATTTCTTTTCTTTTCTTTTTTTTTTTTGTTTTTGTTTTTCAAGACAGGGTTTTTCTGTGTAGTTTTGGTATCTGTCCTGGAACTCACTCTGTAGACCAGGCTGGCCTCGAACTCACAGAGATCCACCTGGCTCTGCCTCCCAAATACTGGGATTAAAGGCATGTACCACCACCGTCCGCCTACCTATTTCATTTCAATTATTAATATATAGCTACTCTAGAAAACTCCAATTCTGCCTAAAAGTGAAAGTATTATTATTGTTGTTGCTGTTTTTTTTAAAGTCAGGGATTCACTATGAAGCTCTGACTGGCCTCAAACTCAGTAATCCTCCTACAGAGGATGGAGCATAAAACAAGCTCAGGTCTTTACAATTCAGTCTAGGGTCAAGAGGAATCACAGACATGTTTTCCAGAAAAATTACAGAACAGTGAATGGACTTAAAGGAAATATACAATAATGAGAAAGATAGCTCAGTGGTAAAGACACTTTGCTGCCAAGCCCGACAACCTAAATCCCTGGGAGCCACATGGTGGAGAGACTCAATTCCTGCAAGTTCTTAGCTCCAATCAACCAATTTAATTAAAGCAATTAAGGCAGTAAAAGTAAAGGTATATCACAGAAGTCAAAGAAGTATTTTTGAGGAGAGGCAATTTATAGTATCCAAAGTTACCAAATATAAAAGGACAGGCTGGCTGCATTCAATATGCAGTTCACTGATAACCTTGATGAGAATGGTTTTGGTGGAATGCTAGATGGAAAAATGGCTTAGCATGCCAGAAACATTATCAATCATTAAACAAATTATTATTATTATTATTATTATTATTATTATTAAACAGTAGGTATCATAATAGCCCAGGCTGGCCTGGAATTCAAGGCAATCCTGCTGCCTCAGCCTACCAGGTACTGGATTACAGGAATGAATCACCATGCCTGACTAGAAAACAATGTTTAAATGGGCAAGGAGATGGAGTAGAGATGATACCATAAAATAAAACTTTTTTTTTTTGGTTTTTCGAGACAGGGTTTCTCTGTGTAGCTTTGCGCCTTTCCTGGAACTCACTTGGTAGCCCAGGCTGGCCTCAAACTCACAGAGATCCGCCTGCCTCTAAAACAAAACTTTTACAGAGAAATATAAGCATTTGTTTTCTGCTTCCAGATGAGATGCTGATAGAAAAAAAAAAAAAGGACAGGATGTACAATAACACCTATGTAAGTGTATTCTGTATTAGTGTAGTGAAAGAATAGTGAAATACTGTTACCATAAATCAGTCTTATTAAGTCTCTCTGACTCCAATTATCAATCTGCAGTAAGAGGAGGGCAGAGGAACACATGAGAACACAAGCAGCAAAATCTAAGCTGTGAGAAGCCTTAGAAAACAAATGAGCAGATCATTGTGAGTTCAAGGCCAACCTGGTCTACAAATCGAGTTCCAAGACAGCTAGGACTGTTACATAGAGAAATTCTGTCTTGAAAAAACAAATAAATCAATAAGACAAGTGACATTCACCAGCTGCAATTTATGAACCATGTTGAGATCTAAATCCAAA